TTATTCGAGTCACCGGGATCTATCTATAATATGGACGAAACTGGGCTACAGCTCAATAATAAAGTGGGTTACGTTATAGCCCAAAAAGGGTCAAAAGATGTATCCACAATTACATCTGGAGAAAAGAGGGAAACCATAACGGTTATCGCATGTTGCAATGCAGAAGGCATTTTTCTACCCCCCGCTTGTGTTTTTAAAGGCAAGTATAAAAAGGATGAATTCCAAGATGGCATGCCAAACGGATCAGTAATTTACATGAACCAGAAGTCGGCGTATGTAAACTCAGATATTTTTCTATTATGGTTGAAAGATCATTTTCTTCCAAGAAAAGGGGTAGGAAAAGCACTTTTGATCGTCGATGGTCATACATCCCACTGCAGTGCCGAAGTATTACAACTTGCGGAAAGAAATGATATTATTTTATTGTGCTTGCCAAGCCACACTACTCATTACCTTCAGCCTTTGGATCGTGGAGTGTTTAAATCATTAAAATCTGCATTTAACAAAGCGTGTTACCTTTTTATGAAAACAAATCCAAGCCGAAAAATAACTAGATTACAATTTGGCAGACTATTGGCCGAAGCATGGACAAAAGCAGCAACTAATGATAATGCAGTTTCTTCATTTAGAGCCACGGGAATTTTTCCTTATAACCCTGAAGCTGTACCGGAACATGCCTATCATGTTTCTGATGCTGCAGCAGTTTTTGCAATAGGTGCTCTACCTTTTAAAGATAATGAAATAGGTTCTGATTGTGGATTATCTAAACCTCAGTCCAACCAATCTTTAACATTTCAATGTCGAACTTCTGATCCTCAAGCCAGTTCATCTTTAGTACCTGATCGTCAATCTCCTGAGCCTCGACCTGGTTCATCTTCAGTACCGGATCGCCAATCTCCTGAGCCTCGACCTGGTCCACCTTCAGTTCCTCGTCAACAGTCACCAAAAATTCAACATTGCTCATCCTCATCATCCGATAAACCTGAATCTGCTGGAAAAATTCTAGAGAATATCTCACCCTTGCCTATAATTCCTGTAGCATTAAAAAATCGAGGTAGAAAAGTTGCAACTATATTAACTTCAACCGAAAATATAGAGAAGGCAAGATTATTAAAAGAAAGACTTGCAAAACGTAAAGGTGTGGTACAAATAAAATCTGTTTCAAAACCAATTAAAAGGACAAAGAAGACCAAGCCTACATTGCCTTCCTCTGAGTCAGATGAAGATTTTGAATCCAAAGAAGACAGTGATAGCGACATCAATGAGGAATTTAATGAGAACGAAGGCCCAAGGCTTATGAATATGTCAGAACTGTATTTGATACATGTTTGCCACATAAAAGTACCATAGGAAAATGGTTACAAACTGTTAACGCTGCGCCAGGTTTCACAAGTGAAGCTTTTGAAACTTTGCGTAAGCATGTAGAAAATTTAGAAAACAAATCATTATTGTGTTCTCTTATTATCGATGAGATGTCTATTAGAAAACATTTAGAATGGGATGGTAAAACTTTTCATGGGTACGTTAATCTTGGGGTCGACTTAAATGATGACTCTAATGAATTAGCCAAAGAGGTTTTTGTTTTATTAATCGTTTCAATTAATGGTACTTGGAAACTCCCAGTAGGCTATTTTTTGTCCAATGGTTTAAATGGAGAACAGAAAAGTTATATAGTTGAACAATGTATTGTATTGGTTGAAAATACTGGTGCACGTCTGGTATCTCTTACCTGTGATGGATCCCATCAAATATAAGTATGAGTAATATACTCGGCTGCTCATTCCAGTTTCCTAATGTGCAAACGAAACTTAACATTGTGAATAAAAAAGATAATGGGTCCTATGATTGAACGTTTATGTTATCCATAACGTACATGTTAAGTCGAATTTTAACAGTAATGAAGCAAGTTTGTATGATAGAAAACTGTTAAATTAGAACATAACAGGCGGAAAATAACAGTAATGTGTTGAAAACCGTTTTTCATCATACGAACTTGCCTAATTACTGTTAAAACTGAGCCTAACATGTACGTTACGGATAACGTAAACGTTCAATCATAGGACCCATGATGTACTTTTTTCTTGATCCTTGTCATATGACTAAATTGGTGCGCAATGCATTTGGGGATAAAAAGATATTTAGAGACGGAGATGGCAACTTAATTCATTGGAAGTATATCGACTCTCTTGTAAAATTGCAAGAAAATGAGGGTTTACATCTTGGTAATAAATTACGTAAGGCACATGTCAATTTCTTTAAACAGAAAATGAAGGTAAGGCTGGCTGTGCAGCTTCTTAGTGAATCTGTCGCAGATTCTTTAGAATACTGCGAAAATATATTAAAACTTGATGAATTTAAGGGGTGTGGGGTCACTGTACGTTTTTTAAAAATATTTAATTGTATATTTGACATATTAAATAGCAGATCGTTAGTACCTCCAGGGTTTAAAAAAGCAATATGTCAAAAAAATATAGAAAAACTTATGAGTTTATTAATTTTGCTATTGATTACATATCAAAATTAACTTTATTTGATGGGGAGCTAATTATTAATTCTAAAAGAAAAACTGGTTTCCTTGGTATTATTGTTTGTTTAAGAAGCGCAATACATTCATATAATGACTTAGTAACGGAGCAAAATCTATTACTGTATCTTCCTTTATATAAAATAAGTCAAGATCATCTCGAATTATTTTTTTCATCCGTTAGATCAAAAGGTGGATGGAATAACAACCCAACAGCTCGTCAGTTTATGGGAGCTTATAAACGACTGTTGGTAAGAGGTGAAATAAGGGAGGGTGGTGTGGGAAATTGTATTCCATTGGACCAAATACCAATATTAGTAACATCAAGTAGAATTAAATATGTTAAACCAGAAGAATGCATAAATTTTACAACGCCTGGTATTAATTATCTAATTTCAGATGAAGAAGTAGATATAATCTATACAATTTTGGAAGATCACGATTACATTATTAATGATGTTATAATGTCTGAGTGCTCATCCCAGATTGTTATATATATTGCAGGTTTTGTATCGCGAAGTTTACAAAAAAATATAAAATGTGAAACTTGCGTTGCAGCGTTAATAGGAAACCATGCAAATTTTTTAAATTCACTAATTTCGCAGAAAACTCATGGCGGACTTACATATCCATCCGATGATGTAATTAAAATTTGCAACAAATCTGAACGCTATTTACGCATGTATACAAATGATTTGCATAAAACAAATTTTGTACTAATGTTATGCAATAAAATTATATCTGAATGCGTTAACTATAAGTTATTTCAAGATTTGGAATATCATGTACTAGAAAGCCCGGTAAATCACTTATATTTTTTAATAAAATCTATTTGTGTGAAGTACATTAATGTTCGGGTACATTTTATAACAAAAATACGGTCCCAAAAATTAGATCCTATTCGAAACCAATTGACAAAACTTATTCATTTTAAAGGCCAATAAAATAATGTATATATTTGCAGGTATTATATTTTTGCTAGGTCTCTAAAATATTTGTTGTTTAACATTTGTGTTCATTTTCTGTTTTTTTTTTTTACTAATAATATTAAATATATATATATATATATATATATATATATATATATATATATATATATATATATATATATATATATATATATATATACTGTTGTATTTTATTTTCCATTGCATTCTTACCTTCATAAAATGTATATATTTGTAAGTATTACATTTTTCGGTATGTCTAACTTTTTTTTGTTTGTTTATTATTTGTGTGCATTTTCTATAATGACTATTATTAAAGATATGTATAAGCTATATTGTATTTTATTATCCCTTGAATTCGTAAGTTTTTTAATTTTTGTTGAGCAGCTAGTATAAATACTATCCATCAAAATCATACAAAATTGTAAATATAAAACACATCGGTAAATAATTTAGCTATCTTTATTACGTTATAAAAATATCGAAATAATTTAGACGTCTCAGAAAACTAAAAATGTAAACAATTGTTTCGGAAAAATATATTACATCCTTTATGACACGCCACTGAGTCTATCGGCGATGTGGCAAGCGGTACAGTTACCAGTCCTCTCTCTTTCCTTGTCTAAGGGCCAGCCGAAATATTCTTTAAACGACCCCAAATTAGGCCAATGTACCTGTCCTCAGACACCAGACGGCCGCCGTCAAGTGTCTTGCGACCTCGCTTTCGCCTGTTAAGAGTACCATTTCGGTAGGCGCAACAGACGTGACCAAGAACGGTCTCTTCACGTCTGGAACACATGTAATTATATGAAATTAGTGATGTGCAAATACTATCTACTCGATACTTTAATACCTGATACATGGGCGGATTCAAAGTAATCGAATCCTTCGACGCCAAATACTCGTTACTCGAATGGGACCGAAGCCGAAGTGTTACTTTTGTATCAATCGTATCGGCATCGGCCGTATGAGTAACGAGTTTGGAGTACTTGTAATCATTTGTACCGATATTTATTTACTTAAATATTTGAGCGGTTGATGTGTCATGTCGTCTAGCGGGGCGGCTTATCTAGCGGTTTACTGTAGGCGAGTTCGGATAGTCAGGGGCTGGAACGGGACACAAGCGGACTAAACCGAACGCAAAAAGGGTCGTTTGGGGTAAAAAGTGTTAAAGGAACTTGGCAAACCGAACGCAGTGTCTTAATGGGCTCTCCCTAGTCATAAATGTCATGTCATAAATCGTTTAAGGTTCGAGAAATTATTGGATCTTTTATTATTTTTGAATTTTGTGTAGGTACATAAATTGCTGAAATTGGTAAAAGCTCGTTATTTATTCAATATATGTATGGGATGAAATACTGACGCTTGGTTTTCCCACGTCTCTTCCACTAAGTAGGGTGGTACCACCTAAGTAAGACGATTATATCTAATTCTCGGTTATAAAATACAGGGTAGTTTTTAGTTTTATATGAGGTACCGTAGAGTTTAAGTGTGATTTTTTGAACGTTGTATTTTAAATATTAATAGAGATGTCGGATAGGAAAAAAAGTAAAGTTTGGTTGCATTTTACTGTGGTCAATAGTGAAAAAGCTAAATGTGATATTTGTAAGAATGTATTATCTTATAAAGGCTTCAAATCTACAAAAACATTTAAAAGCAAAACATTTTTCTACGCTCAATGAAAATGAGACTACTTCTCAACATCAACAATCTCAATCGGCCAGGACGACTATTGACGAGGCTGTGGCAGGTCCTTCAAGTGCTCCAGATGTAAGACATCACGACAGTACTACCAAGATTTCTTTACAATCTCAATTGGCCGAAGTACCTACACTTAAACTTGCACAAACCAAAATGTCGGCTTTTTCTGTACGCCTAGCATCTGTGTCTAGAACAAAAATGCTAAATGAAATGGTCCTAAACATTATTTTACAAGATCGTCAACCATTTTCTGTAGTCGAGGATAACGGATTTAGAGCCCTAATAGCTGTCCTTGATCCTTCCTATCAACTACCATCAAGAACAACTTTTAGTCGTGATTTGTTAAATAAAAAATATGATGACGTTGTATTGAGAGTGAAATCTTTATTAAATGAAGCAGAGTATATAACACAACTAACACTTGGACATCACGTTCTGTTGAAAATTACATGGCAGTAACTGCACATTATGTGACTAGGGAGTAGACACAAAAATCACTATTACTGGGTTGCTTTCATTTCCACGAAAGTCATACAGCTGAAAATATTAGAAATAAGTTATTGCAAATTTTAAATGAATGGAATATTGCTGATAAAATAGTAGCTGTAGTAACAGACAATGCAAGAAACATAACAGCCGCAATAAAGCTAACTGGTTGGCCAAATCTGCCATGTCTGGCACACACATTAAATCTTGTGGTTCAAGATTCTTTAAAATTATTAGAACCATTACGGAAAAAAGTGAAAAAAATTGTAGAACATTTTTATCGGAGCACTACAGCAGCAGAAAAACTCAACGAAATGCAAACGCAAATGACTGGAAAAAATTTAAAACAAATTAACGGCGTTATTACCCGTTGGAACTCCACCTATTTTATGTTTAGCAGAATTTGTGACGTTCAAATACCACTTGAAGCAGCTGTTGGTATTTTGCATAACCCTGTTGAGATACTTACTGTAGCTGAATGGTCAGTATTAAAACAATGTTGTGTCCTTTTAAAACCTTTTGAGGAAGTAACTAGAGAATTGAGTGCCGAAAAAAGTGTATGTGTTTCAAAACTAATACCATTGATAGAAAGCTTAAAACAGTTTTTGTGTGGCCTTCAGGTCGATGATGAGACCGCATCGAGTTTAAAAGACTGTTTGATACAGGGCTTAAGAACGAGATTTCATCGTGTTGAGTTTAATGCAATACTGGCAAAAGCAACTTATTTGGATCCCCGGTTTAAAAAAAAAGGTTTTAGCACCGAAAACGCAGTTACTCAAGTGAGAGAACTTTTAATGTCGGAAATGTCAAGTCTTATTAAGAAAAACATTGAAGTTATGGAGGTTTATAAAACATCAGTATCAGAAGGTGAAGAGGAGGTTATGGAAGAGGATTCAATACGGAAAAGTTTTGACGCAAAAGTCGTAAAAAATACATCGACAGTAGCCGCTTCAATTATTGAAATGAAACAGTATGCAGAGGAAAATAGCATTAAGAGAAAGGACGACCCCCTAAAATGGTGGAAAATAAGGGAAGCAGTGTATGCAAATTTATCAAAGTTGGCAAAAAAATACCTAGGTGTAACGGCAACTTCTGTTCCAAGTGAACTAGTGTTTTCTAAGGCGGGCCAAGTGGTTTCGGATCGTAGAAGTAGACTTAAACCAAAAAATGTAAAAAAAGTTGTGTTTTTAAATGGGAATGCGCATTTATTTTAATTTTTTGGTTAATTAATTTCTTTTTAATTTATACCTACCTATATTTAGTCGTAGACTATTTGAGACTTTGAGCGCTATTTTTTTATTTAAACAATATTTTTTTTAACATAGTTTAGTAGTTTTTTAAAATATGTTTTATGTTTTGTTTACATTTATAATATATTTCTTTTGTACCAAAATTTATTTTTGTTTAAGTTTTTTTTTAATCTATTTAAAAAAACTGCCTATTCTACCTAAATAATTTTAAAAGTGACCAGTATACTTTTCATGAAACCATTCATTTGGATACTAAAATAAAATATACAACAAATACAACAATTCCATCATAAAATTACAGCTTTTTGTGGTCTACTATATTTTTGTATATTTAATAATATTTTTACATTCTGGTATACCTTCGAAATATTTCAAAATCAAAGTTCTTCTTATTTACTAAAAATAAAGAATTAAGTGTTAAATCATTTAATCATTAAATGAACTATTGCGTATACGTATACGATTGACAACATAGAAAATCTCAGTATTTATTGGATTTACCGATAATATAATGAATACTTAGTACCGAATACAAAATATCTGATACTCGAATAGGAAGTATCAGTATCTACTCGATACTTGGAAAAGTAATCGTTGCACATCACTATATGAAACACATTTCGCACGGCGCGACACTTCCGAGAAACAGATTTTGACAACAGGTAGGTCGGTCTCGAAGTATCGTTTGCTGTCTGTCTCCCTTAGTCATCGCTTGTATTTAGAGGCGATTAGTTGATATTTTATAGAAATGGTAGTTGCATTCTTTCGATCTAGGCAGTGTTGCCAAATGAACATTTACTAAAACAGTATGGGTGAAAAAAAACCGTAGATCTAAACAGTAGATTTAAATACAGGGGGAAATAATTATAATTTGCAGTGTAGTAAATAAAAAAAAAAAAAGAATATAATAAACGAAAAATAAACATTTGTCTACCCAAATTAGAAAGTTAACAAAGAAAAAAAAACAAATAATAACATTTTTAATATACAGGGTGCCCCAAATTGTTTTACCCATGCTGTAACTTCTAAACCATGCAAGATAATTGAACCAGACAAAAGTCATCCATTATAATTAAACTACCCCTCTCGAACAACCCCCTCAAATATTATTAACGACACCCTAATTTTTTTTCTGCTCATTTTTGTAGTCGCTACTTTTCACTGTACAACTGTTTTTAAAATTTTGAAATCGCTCCATAAATAAGTGAGATTAGTTTTTTTTCATTTTCATCAAGTTGCTTGCTGTCAAATTCATTGTAAGTTTTCTAGCGCATTATAAACAATACTATATCAATATGTCTCTTGTCAAACAGAAGTGCAGCTTAAATACTCGATAAAGTTAGCAGTTTTTACTTGATAAAGTTTGCAGTAATTTAGAGTTTGTCAAGTCCTAAAAAATTATTTCAAAATGCCTACTCTGTTTAGTTCCAACGAGTACACCGATATGATAATTATTTACGGCGATTGTCGCAAGAATTCAAGACAAGCTAGACAATTATACTATGAACGTTTTCCGAATAGAACAATTTCCTCAGTTAGAACGTTTTCCAATTTAGAAAGAAGTCTTAGACAAGGACATTTTCCTGACGGTAAACATCATAGAGGACACAACAGAATGATCAGAAATGAAGAAAATATTATACACGTTTTGGCTTACGTTTTTGGCTTACGTTCATGTAAATCCACATGTTTTTATCAGAGATTTGGCACTCAAAATTGGAATAAGCAAAAGTAGCATACAAAGAATATTAAAAGACAATAAATATTATCCTTATTAAATACACTTGGTCCAAGGTTTACTCCCTAATGATCTTGAAAGACGCTTAGACTTTCTCGCTAGAATGCAGATGAAACTAAATGACGATGCCACATTCTTAGATAAAATATTATGGAGCGACGAATCACGTTTCCATAATAATGGTGTATTAAATCGTAATAATTCCACCAAATCCTCACTGGGTAAGAGAAACAAGGTTTCAAAATATTTGGGGCATAAAGGTATGGTGTGGTTTGTTCAATAGTAGGATTATAGGTCCTCATTTTTATGAAAACACTCTAACGGGAATAGGATATCGTGATTTTTTAATCAATACCGTTCATGACTTGTTGGAAGGTGTTCCTCTTAATCAAAGACGTGATATGTGGTGGCAGCAAGATGGTGCACCAGCTCATAATGCACAAATTGTGAGCCAATATTTGGCAAACACTTGTTACCGTGTTATATCCACACATTCTCCAATTATCCAGTGGCCGGCTGGTCACCTGATTTGTCGCCTCTAGATTTTTTCTCTGGGGTACTATAAAGGACGTAGTATACGAAACAAAACCAGAGGACTTAGAAGATTTACACCGCCCATGATTCGAGCTGCCTGTACTAGAAATGTATTGTTAAGGTTTGACAAATGTGTAGAAGTGGTAGGTGGGCAATTTGAGCACTTATTAAAAGTTATTACTCTTTGTTTGTTGATATTTATTTCTTGTCTTTTTCTTCTTCTTCTTCTTCTTCTCTTGTTTCAATGTATTTTTTTAATTGTGTGTAACCTAATAAAGTATTTTTTATCATCAACTTGACATAAAGTTTTATTTAATTTCTCACTTATTTATGGAGCGATTTCAAAATTTTAAAAACAGATGTACAGAGAAAAGTAGCGACTACAAAAATGAGCAGAAAAAAAATTAGGGTGTCGTTAATAATTTTAGAGGGGGTTGTTCCAGGGGGGTAGTTTTTGAGGGTGGCTCGTCAAATTTTTATTTTTTTCAAAGTACACCGCCAATTATAATGGATGACTTTTGTCCGGTTCTTACATGGTTTAGAAGTTATAGCCTGGGTAAAACAATTTGGGACACCCTGTATACTTAACTTACGGAAACAAAAAAGAAACCAATGAAAAATAATAGGTTTTTCTTTTAGATGAGTCTGAATCAAATAATTGAAATACGTTGTGTTTGGCATGCATGATGCCCTATTAATTCTTTATTGCATTTTAAATAAAAACATAATGATTATCTTGAGGTTTTTTTTTTTATAGAACCAACCTACAGTAGTGGATGCTTATTACGCTGATTTTACTTCAGCAAATTTACTAGAGAAAATATTCTTTGATCATTTGCTGAAGAATGAGGCAAACTTAATAAATTAAGAACAAAATTTGTTAAGTTGGCGAAAGCAGTAGATTTCATGCCTTAAATAAGAGAACAGAGACAAAAACAGTGGATCTACTTAAAAACAGGTCTGGCAAAGCTGATCGTTCCCTCGAATTGTTGTCTGCGGGTGTCGTGTCACCTGTCTCCTTGCTTCCCAAATTTACGAAGCGTAACATTCATGCATCTGTCGTCCTTGGGGTCGCCTCTGTGGTCTCCTGTCTCCTGTTGCGCCAACCAAAATGGTACCTTTAAAGGTGCGGTCTTTTAAAAAACATATGTGAATTGCTGTTGCGATATTTTGTGCGCGTTTGTATTATTGGATAAGCTTTCAAAAAATACATTGGTATTAAATTTGCATTGATTTTATTCTTTTCAAAATTGCGGAACTTTTTTCTTCGGCTGATAACTCCCGGCGTGGTATAGTTATTACGATTCATCGGGGTTTGGGTGACTCCTGTAACAATAAAAAATATTTTAAATGTTTAAATAGCTTATATAGATACAATATTTATTGCAAGTTAAAAATTGGAAAAAAGTTTAAAAAATAGCAACATACTAAAATTTAAAAAAAAAATAATT